AGGTGGTGTACAGAAGCGTTGTGGTGCACGCAGTCATCGGGATGCACGCAGGGCGAGCTCACACAGATAAGAAGGTGCACGCAGGCACGGTGGTGTACACAAGCGCTGCGATGCATTTGGTTTCCTTCTCTTCGCGGGCACTTTGCGGTGAACGCAAGCGCAATTATGCACGCAAACGCACTTGTATTACTACTACTACTACTACTACTACTACTACCACCACCACTACTACTACTACTACTACTACTACTACTACTACTATTACTACTACTACTACTACTACTACTACGACTGCTACTACTGCTACGGCTACTTCTTCTGTTATTACAACGACAATGATTACAACTGCTGCTACTACTACTACTGCTACTACTACTACTACTACTACTACTACAACTACTACTACGACTACTACTACCACTCCTACCACTGCCACTACCACTAGTATTACTATTTTCTATTATTACTACTACTACGACTACTTCTACGACTACAATTACTACTACACATACAACTACTATTACTACCATCACTACCACCTCTACCACCACTTCGATTACTAGTACGACGGCTACTACAACTTTGCTTTATTATTACCACGATTACTACTACTATTACTACTACTACTACTGCTACTACTACTACTACTACTATTACTACTACCGCTACGATGTTTAGTATTGCTACTACCACCTTGCTACGATTCCTACTACTGCTACTACCCTCCGTACTACTACTACTACTACTACTACGACTACTACTACTACTACTACTGCTACTTCTACTGCTGCTACTACTACTACTACTACCACTATTTCTACTACCACTACTACCACTACAGCTGCAACTACTACTACTACTACTACTACTTCTGCTACAACTACTATTACTATGTCCAGCATTTCTACTACTTACTACTATGCGATGACCGCTAGTAGTAGTAGTAGTAGTAGTAGTAGTAGTAGTAGTAGTACTACTACTGCTACTAGTACTACTGCTGCCATCATTATGTCAACTCCTATTACTACTACGTCTACTGCTACTACTACTCCCACTACTACTACTACTACTACTATTACTACTACTGATAGTGCTACTCGTACTACTACTACTACTACTACTACTTCTACTACTACTACTACTGCGGCTGCTACTACTACTACCTCTATGACTACTGCTACTACTACTACTACTACTACAACTACCACTACTACTACTACCACTACTACTACCACTACTACTACTAGTTCAACTAGTATTACTACTACTACTACTGCTACTACTCCTACTTATAGTGCTACGTGTACTACTACGACGACGACTACTACTACTACTACTACGACTACTACTACAACTACTACTACTACAACGACTATTGCTTTCATTTTGGGCTACTACGACCATTACTGCTACTACTACTACCACTACTACTACTACTGCGACTACTACTACTACTACTACTACTACTACTACTACTACTACTAGTACTACTACTACTACTACTACTGCTACTGCTACTGCTACTGCTACTGCTACTACTACTACTACTACTACTACTTTTACTACTACTACTAAAACTACTAAAACCACCACCACCACCCCACCACCACCACTACTACTGCTACTACTACTACTACTACTAATACTACTACTACTACTACTACTACTACTGCTGCTACTACTACTACTACTACTAGGGCGGCTACGACTTTCATGTATTCCACTACGACTTCTACCAACACCATTACTACTACTTTACCACGACCACTACCACTACTTTTACTACTACTACTACTATTGCTACTGCTACTACTACTACTACTCCTACTACTACTACTACTACTACCACTACTACTACTACTACTACTACTACTACTTCTTCTACTACTACTACTACTTCTACTACTACTACTACTACTACTATTACTACTACCACCATTTCTGCTTCTTCTGATGCTGCTGCTTTTAATAGCATTCCCTTTATATTGTTGTATTTTACGACTACTACTACTACTACTACTACTACTACTACTACTACTACTACTACCGCTACTGCTCTGGCTACTGCTACTTCCATGTGTCTACTGGTACTACTAGTCGTACTCGCACTACTCGTGTTGCCAGGACTTCTTGGCACTACTAGAGCTACTATTATTAATACTACTAGTATGGCTTGTACTCTATGTGCTACTCGTACTGCTCGTACTCGTGGTGGTACTCGCACTCGCCGCGCCCCCCCCTCTCCCCCCCTGCCCCCCCCGCCGGGTGCCGCCGTTACCGTCACCCCCCCCTCCCTCCCACGTAACACGCGTTCCCCCCCCCAGGAAATTACGCTACCGAGGAACCCCACATACTTCTATTAGGGTTGGGGTGATGATAGCAAGCTTGCGTACCGATGTGCCCTGAGCACCACCGTTACGGATAGAGGCCGCCCTCAGGAACCACCCCCATGCGCGCCCCCCTGTGGTGTCGAGATAACGCCATAGAGGCCGCCCTAAGGGACCACCCCGTGCGCACCCCCTTATGGTGTCGAGAACATGCCACGCTTGCTGTGCCCTGGACGACCGTCACGCATAGCGGCCGCGGTCAGTGACCACCCCCTGCGCACCTCCTGTTTGGCAAGCATGTGTTGCGTGGTGTGCGTGACATGTATTGCGTGCTTGTGTGTGTGTCTGTGTGTGTGTGTGCTGTGCTGTGCTGTGCTGTGCTGTGCTGTTCAGTGTTGTGCTATGCTGAGCTGTGCTGTGCTGAACTGTGCTGTGTTGTGCTGAGCTGGTCTGTGCTGTGCTGTGCTGAGGTGAGGTGCTGTGCAGTGCTGTGCTGAGCTGAGCTGAGCTGAGCTGAGTTGTGCTGAGCAGTGCTGCGTTGTGCTGTGCTGTGTACGTGCTGTGTGTCAATGTGCTGTGTGCTGAGCTGTGCTGTGCTGCGCTGCGCTGCGCTGCGCTGTGCCGCACTGTGCTGTGTGATAAGGAGAAGGAGAAGGAGGAGGAGGGGTGAGGAGGAGACGCGGGTGCGACGCGGGAAGGAAGAATACCAGAACCCCACTAAGCATGTGGGGAAAAACAGTGTCCTGGCCGTGCTCTCGTCGGGGCGTTGCCGCGTCGTGGCCCCTGGGCGGACCTCCCGTGCTTTCGCGAACTGCTCGTGGACCGCCGCCCGGATGGCCGCGACCTGCTCGCACTTCTCTTGGATCGTGGCCTCCAAGCTGCGCAGCGCCTCCTCATCGGACGAGCCGATGTCCTTGAAACGATCGTCGTCGACCGCGAAGACCACGCGCTCGCCGTCTGACGTGCAGCACTGCGGCACATGCTGGATGTTGGCCCCCGCCGCCACACGCGCGGCGGCTGACGCACGGCTAGCCTTCGAGTGGGCGTGTTCGATTGACGCCTGCTTGATTGCCTTCCGCGCCACCTCTCGCTTCTCCTCGGCCTCAGCCCCCCCGTGGGTAAAGAGTCTCCTCCTTCCCCACCTCCGTGGCTGACGCCGTGTGGGACTCCTGCGCCGTCTGCGGCTTGACCAGACTCCGCGTGCCTGGCCTGCTCGCGCTGCAGAGCTGACCTCCAGGGCGAACTGCGGGGGGCGGGCCAGCTGCGCGATGAGAGTCTCGGCATCACTTTGCTTGGCTGAACGAGGCGAGGAGTTCGGACACGATTTGCCGCCGCAGTCGAAGTGCCATGGTGGTGTGCCGCCGCCACCACGCACGTACAAGCCGATGTGCGCGCCACACTTTGCGCATTTGCAATTCTTCTTCTGGGTGTGGATACTGAAGACCCAATTTCCACACGTGCACCAACTGAAGGAACCTTTCCGTGCCATTTTCGTGTGGGAGGAATCGTGAATGACGTGGAGCGGGCGATCAATCGCAGAAAACTGTAGGGCCGCCGATCCCTAGTGTCAGCTCAACGAACTTGAGCCACCATGGGTACGGAGGAGGAGAAGGAGGAGGAAGAGGAGGAGGAGGAGGAGCAGGAGCAGGAGGGGGACGAGGAGGACGAGGAGAAGGAGGAGGAGTTTGAGGAGGAGGAGGAGGAGGAGGAGGAGGGCGAAGGCGAGGAGGAGGAGGAGGAGGAGGAGGAGGGCGAGGGCGAGGAGGAGGAGGAGGAGGAGGAAGTGGAGGAGGGTGGCGAGGAGGAAGAGGATGATGAGGAGGAGGTGGAAGAGTAAGGGGAGGAGGAGGAGGAGGAGGAGGAGGAGAGGAGGAGGAGTGGAGGAGGAGGCGGAGAGGGAGCAGGAGGAGGAGGAGAAGGAGGAGGAGGAGGAGGCGGAGGGGGAGGGAGGAAGAGGGGGAGAGGGAGGAAGAGGGGGGAGGGGGAGGAACAGGAGGAGGAGGAGGAGGAGAGGAGGAGGAGGAGGAGGAGGAGGAGGAGGAGGAGGAGGAGGAGGAGGAGGAGGAGGAGGAGGAGGCGGAGGGGAGGGAGGAGGAGGAGGAGGAGGAGGAGGAGGCCGAGGGGGAGAGGGAGGAAGAGGGGGAGAGGGAGGAAGAGGGGGAGAGGGAGGAAGAGGAGGAGGAGGAGGAGGACGAGGAGGAGGAGGAGGAGGAGGAGGAGGACTAGGAGGAGGAAGAGGAGGCGGAGGAGGAGGAGGAGGGCGAATGCGAAGAGGAGGAGGAGGAGGAGGAGGAGGAGGAGGAGGAGGAGGAGGAGGAGGGAGAACGGACGGATGGGGGAGGGGTGGAGGAGGGAGGTGGGTGGGTTCCATACGCCGAGGAAACACAAAGATTGATCCAGGCGAGTGCATCAGCAGCCCGCGGTCCGTCGCCACGTGAGGCGGCGCTGGCGACACGCTTCGGGAACCGTTCCCCTGACTTGTGGACGACACGCCCACGAACCAACCACGGATCCGAAGTTCATGCTAGCGCTTACCCGAGTAAGGCGGGAATGTGAGGAGGGAACGAATGGAGGAGGGAGGAGGGAGGACGGAGGAGGGAGAGGGAGGGTTCGTCGGCCTCCTCGCCCAGCGGTGCCCTGGGCCTCTCGCGCAACTGTCCGCGGGCCCGCCAGGCGCAGTGCGCAAGGTGCCACACGATCGGGAAAGGCGGCCGCACCGGCTGCCACCTGGTGCCAGCCGCGCCGCTGCTGCTGGGAGGGGGGTCGGCGGGCGCCGTGCTGCGGCAGTTCCTCTTGGGGCCCTCATGGGAGTGGTTCTGGGGGCCCTTTGGGACGCTTTAGAGCGATCTTTGGGGGTATGACGGCTCCTTTGGGGTCGTCGTCGACCGTCTTGAGGCTTCCTGGGGTCGTCTCGGGAGCGCGCCGGACCGTCGGGGGCCCTCTGGGCCCTCTTCGGGCTCTCGTGAGGTCCTCCCAGGTCGTCTGGGGGGCTGCCCGAAAGGCCCGGTATGGGCCAAATTCGTTAGGTGGGAGGGGGGGGGTAATTTTTGCGGGGGCCCCGGCCGTGTGAAATTATTCGAGCAGGAATCTCTCTCTCTCTCTCTATCTCTTTCTTTCCCAAGCGACTCGAAATCTCGCCAGGTCCCCCGCGCACAAGAAAAGGCCCTCTGCGGGTGCTGGCTCCAACAGGCCCGCGAGGTCGGAGTGCTGCTGCTGCCGCCCGAGACTGCCCTTGTCCCTTGTCCTGCCAGGGCCCGTTTCGATCCGAGCGATCTGGTTTGATACCGATTCCGGCCGCCCCGATTCCCGTGGTTCCAAGAAGGACCCCTGATTGGGAACCCCCAAACCGGGTGGTGAGATACCAGGTGGCGACCTGGAATCCCCAAAAAGGTCACCGCTGGGTTTGGGGACGCGTGGTCACCACCGGGTTTTGTGACTCCTGGACCCACCAGTGTCCGGGACATCTTCGGAAAACCGCACGAGTCCCCAAACCCGATGGTGACACCAAATCGCCCGAGACTCATTGCCAGGTGTTGTCACCACCACGTTTGGGGACTACCAACCTGAGGAAAGGACTCTTGAGACGGGCGACCTTCTTGCCCACCTCCACTTGCCCTTCCACTTGCACTCCGATGCCTCGAATGTCACGCCGCGGTCTCAGGAGTCCCTCTCGCCAGCGTCCCTCCAATCAGGAGGGAAAAAACACGGACACAATGAATCGTCGATTCCCCAGAAAATATGGGAAAGAATGGGAAGTGAGGGGGGCGATGAAAGCCCAGAAAATATGGGAACATATGGGGAATCCTGTTAACCTATTTATTTGTGTGTCCCAGGGCCCCTTCACTTTAGGCAGGGCGTCACCGATCCGATTCGATGCCGACTTTCCAGACCACCCGATGCGGCCTGAGGCCTGCACAGACTGCTGTGCATCCCCCTGGCGCAGCTGGCCCGGTCCGGTTTCGCTTCCGTGCCGGTGCGGGCCGATCCAGTGCACACCTCGGTTCGATCCGGACTTTAGGGGCCTGGAGATGGGCTCCAACACCAACAACATGGGGATTGCCTCCACCGGGTGAAATTGATCCTAGATGCCGGTGTTGGTGGTGATATTCCGGTCACCTCGTATGCCAGAACATTCCCACCACCACCGAGACCGGGATTTGTTTCCCTCGGTGGAGGCACAGCGCCGATATTGGTGTTGGTGTCAACCTCTAGGCCTGCCAAGACTTCGGGGGCGGCCAAGAGGAGGGTGATGACTACAGCGGCTGTGATCTTTCCTAAAATTTCATGGCGCCTCTTCTTATGTCGTTACGTTGCTGCCCCCCCCGTGGCCCTCCCCCCTGGGCCGCGCCCCTGCCGCCGGCTATGATTTGCGCCGCCCCCCCCCTTCTTGGACGCCCCCCTCTCTTGGCCGCCCCCGAGATTCGATACTGACTAATCAGGAGGGAAAAACACACAGACACTAATCATCGTCGATTCCCAGGAAGATATGGGAAAACATGAGAAGGGGGGAAGACGGAAATACAGAACATATGAGAAAATACTGGGCGTCCTGGAATTTGTGTCTATTCTTGACGCTCGCGTATCCCCACAAGCCCATCCAGAAACGATGCCCATGAGAGTTGACGGGGGAGAGAGGGAGATACACGCATAGGCAACAAGCGAGGGAGGCGTGGGAGGCTCCGTGGCCATCTCGAGCTGTTATGGAGCAGTTTTGGGGCCGCTTGGTGCACTCGAGCCAGCCTGGGCTATCTGAGCCGTCTTGGAGGTCATCTTGGGCTCTCTGAGGCCGCTCGGGGGCCTTTTGAATGCCTCCCAGGTGCCTCTCGGTGGCCTTTTGGGGCCTTTTGGGGTGCTCTTGGAGCCCTCTTGTCTTGGGGGCCTCTTGGGTGCCCTGGAGCGCCTCCTGGAGCCATCTTGGAGGCGGTAGGTCAAAAGAGGGAGGCTACTCGATTTACTCTATGTTAAGGAGGCTGGGGCAAAGGCGAGGGATAGCGAGCGTTTGTCCGCGGCCGTTTGTTCTCAAGCGGCCGGCCGCCAACATATGACTGTGCCTCGCGAGGCACGTTACTTGCCATTGAGACCGAAAACATATTTTGTTTACATGGCCCGTCGCTCCCGCGACGATCTCCTACGTCTGGGACTATCGTTACTACGGTACAACAGAGTTGGATATGAGCTTCGCCTTAGGCGAAGCTTCTGCTTGGGCCTTCTTGGTAGCGGAGCTGGCCTATGGTGGTGAGTTCTAGCTCTACTCTTCACCATCCACGGCATTATCTTGTGGATTACTAACATGGTGGAACATCAGGGTGCAGTGGGTCTGCGCGGAGGAATGTACAGAACTACGCGCAACAGCAAGGACACTTGCAGTGCTACTTCCGTTCTCGCGGAGGCCTCTTGCATGACCGACTGTTCCCACCACTGTCCCCACTGCCCCCGCCATTGTCCCAACGGTCCCAACTGTACCTCTGTCCCATTATCCCACCGCCGTCCTCGCCACCGCCCTCACCACTGTCGCCACCACCACTGTGCCCACCACTGCCCCATTGTTTCCACCACACCACTGTCGCCGCAACCACCGTCCCCACCACTGTCCCACTGTCCCCACTGTTCCCACCATTGTCCCCGCTGTCCCCGCCATTGCCCCCACCAGTGTGTCACTGTCCCAATCTGTATTACTGTCCCACCATTGTCCTCGCCGCCGCCTTCACCACTGTCCCCACCACTACCGTCCCCACCATTGTCCCACTGTCCCCACCACTGTCCCGCTGTCCCCTCACCACCTGTCCCCACCACCACCGTCCCCACCACTGTCCGCGCCACTGTCCCATCGTCCGTGGTCACCACCGTTCCCACCACTGTCCCAACATGCATTCTCCAACTGTCCCGAGGAGCGGGCATCGTTTGCCGGCGGCGAGGGGGGGGGAGGTTCGAACCGGTAGTGACCCGCCGCGGTTTTCGAGGGGTGGGGGTTCGAACCGGTAGTGCCCCCCCCCGTTTTCGAGGGGGGGGGGCTCGAGCCGGTAGTGTGACCCCCCGCTTTTCATGATGGACCGGGGGGCGGGGGGTTCGAACCAGTAGTAGGTAATGTATATATATGTATGTATGTATGTATGTATGTATGTATTTATGTATGTATGCGTATATATATATGTATATATATATATATATATATACATACACACCGCCCCACCGGCCCCGGGTCCCACACCTCGACATCTCGGGGACGCTCCCGGTACCGCCCACCCCGGCCTTTCCAGAGAGCTTCCACAATGCCCCAGGAGGGCCCAACGCGCCTCCCAGGAACACCCAGAATGCGAAAAGGATCGTCCAAGACGCTTCCAAGCAACCCAAGTCAGCCTGCCGACGTCTCTGGATGCTCGCAGGTGGCCGCCAAGAGGCGCCAACATAGGTCCGAGAGGCGTCCGGGGACGGCCCGAGGAGGGCAAAATCGTCGATTTTCAATTGTGTTTTCAATGTTTGGCTTCTCGCGTTGTCGAGCTTCCAATGGCCCAAGAACGCCGAAGAGCCGCCCAAGACCGCCGCAAGACCACCTCCTTGGGCATTTTGGCTCAAGCCAGTTAGGCTCAACAAGTGTTCGCTCCTCTTGCGGTCCAACGACCGAGCGCTGCCTTGTTCGACAATCTGGTGATTGGTGTTCGAACGCACGCAGTCTCGCACATTGGTCATGGCGGGCGTTAAGGTGATCATCAAGAACACATTCTTCGAATTCGAGAGCTCCATGGACGAGCCCTATGTAGCCTCTGGCTGTAGCACGCGTCGAGTTCAGTCATGCCCACCTATCCGTGGCAAGGACAAAGACCAGAGCATTGTAAACGAGGATGGTTCTGGTGGTTCGCGGCTCGAACACACCTCGACACGCAGCGACGCCAGCCGCAGTCTCAGTCTCAGTATTCGGGCGGACCCGGCCATCGCTCACGAGGAGCCCGAGGATGATGCACTCAGCTGCTGCTCGGTCGACCACTACTCGTGTTGGCAGTCGTCTCATAATCTGCTTGTCCGTGCCGATCTTGCAAGCAATTTGGGCAAGAGTCCGCCAGCTGGCAAGCAGAGTGGTCAGACATCGGCCTCTCCCAGCGCACGCACGCCTCTGACCAGCACAGCCGAAAGCTTTACACCTGTGGGTTGCAATGCTGCGGTGTTCATTCCCGGCTGCCCACAGAAGACGGGTGCGTCGGCCTTCCCCATTTCCTCTCCAGGGCAGGGGCCTGATCTTGACATCCAACACTTAGCCACTGACAGCAAGCACTACACCACGCTGGTCGTAAGAAATATGCCCTGTGGTGTCACACGCGATGAGTTTATCCATGCGATTAACGGGGAAGGGTTCGAAGGAACGTACGATTTTGTTTACGTGTCAATAGATTTCAAGACCTACCAGAGCAAGGGGCTCGCGTTCGTGAACTTTGTCAGCGAGGAGCTCGCCAACAGCTTCATGGGTGCTTTCAACGGCTTCACGAAGTGGCCGATCCGGTGTAGGAAGCCCTGTACAGTAACGTGGTCGCGTGTTCAGGGGATTCGGGCTAATCTTGACCTACACCAGCGCAGCTTTCTCATGACCGATCACGTCCCCGAACAGTTCAAGCCTGCGGTCTTCGTCGGTAAGTCTCGGGCTCTTTTCCCGCAGCCCACTTAGTTGCCGCAAGCTTGGCAACGTCTGCTGCGATCCGTAAATTTGAGTCCCGAGCCTCATCTCTCGTTGTCCTCCTCCGCCCGTCCTCTTTGCTCCCTCGCACCGTCCATTCCTCGCCCGCCTGGGGCTGCAAGTCTTGAGGTCGAGGTTCACTTGATTCAGCGTGCTGGTCCAGCACCCTGCGCCAACCACGAGAGAACTCAAAGCGATTGGCCCCAAGGAGTGATGATCTTCGCTCAATACCAGCGGGTATGCTTTCCCCGTGCGGTCTCCGTGCGAGTTAGAAGCCAGTGCCCCCCTCACCCTCTCATCTTTTCCAATAGACCTCTTCATGCTCCCAGTTCTTGACCTCTCCTGTGAATCATGCGCGCGCCGCACACGTCGAGTTGCTCTGCCCGTACTCCCACCTGTTGGCAGCAAGTTTTTGCCCCGCGCTGCCCTGCTTGTGTTTGCCCTCTGCTGGCTGGTCCGTGCTCTGCTCCTGGCACGCGCGTCTCCTGAGCACCGTCGTCTGACTCATGACGATGATCTTCAGGAGGGAACGCAGACACAATTAATCGTCGATTCCCCAGAAAATATGCAAAACTATGGGAAGTGGGGGAAAATATGGGCATCTTTTCATTTGTGTGTATTTATTTGTGTGTCCTGGGGCCCCTTCAAATGATTTGTCCGATGGGGCCGCCGCTCAGTGTGCCCAGGATCGCAGGCCCCTCGACAGCCCGCGTGGGCCTTGAGCGCAGTGCGGCCGCCGCTGGAGCTGTCGGGGCGTGGCGATGGCCGACGCGGCGCCTCCCTCCCCCCTCCTCCTCCTCCGCCTTGCCCTCCTCCCCCTCCTGCTCCTCCTCCTCCTCCTCCTCCTCGTCCTCCTCCCCCTCCTCCTCCTCCCCCTCCTGGGCCGCTCAGTCTTAGTCGCCTCTACCTGGAGCCATCTGTGCCTCAGGCCTGCCGGCGGGCTCCTGCTCGGCGCGGCGCGGCGCGTGCGGCGGCGGGCTGATCATGTCTTAGGTTTCGCCTTTGATTCCTTTGATTCCGTCTAGCTTCGCTCTGTTCTCACCCATGACGGAAGATTTTGGACCGACCTGAGGAAGGTCTCCACCTGGTAATCGTCTTGTCTTTTGCATCCGCATCACTGCGGAAACTTTTGCTCCGCTTGCTCATTGTTTAGTTGCCTGAGCGTGCCCCGCGTACGTCTGGGTGGGCCCCCTGCGCGCCGCGGACGCAGGAGAAAAACAAAAACGCCCCAATACAACCCAGGAGACCTTCAGGACGGCCCCAAGACGGGCCAAGAAGGCTCCAAGACTGCCGAACAGGAGCCCAGGACAGCCCCAGACCACCCCAGAACAGGCCCAAGATGGGCCCAAGAGCGGGAGCAGGAGGCTTCCAGAAACCTCCGAGAGGCCTCTGGCACCCCCCAGTGGCCTCCAACACCCCCCCGATCCCTGCAAGGCCCCAGAAAGACACCCGGCCCGACGAGGCTCCAAGAACAGCCCAAGAGAGCTGCGAGAGCCGTCCCGAGAGCCCAACGAGGGTCAAATCGTTGATTTCCAATGGTTTTCCTAATGTTTTTCGCCTTTCACGTTTTCCCGCTTCCAACCCTCGAAATTAAAAAAAAGTGAATTCCCAGAATTCCATTGTTTCTCAAAGTGGGACTCCTACTCGGAGATCCCACACATCCCCTGACATCTGGCCGGTACCGCGCCTCCGGGCTTCCCGGGCGCCCCCAAGACGCCCAAGGACAGCCCAAGACGACCCCAAGGAGCCCCCAGAACGTAAAGAACGGCCCAACACGCTCCCGCGCAGCCCGAGACACCCTTCCGACGGCTCTCCAGGCCTCCAGGAGGCCTCCAGAACCCCCAAGGTGTCCGGAAGATGCCACACCCCTGAGGGGCCCGGCTAACAAAACCCGCGAGGCACAAACAAAAAACAGCGCCGAACAGCGCCCAGGAACTGGAAAAACATAGAAACCCATTTTTTTCTAAGTTTGACCCCCGGTCTTCTCTTGCACAACAGACCACAATGCAGACCCCCCTCACTTTCCAAACAAGAGCCCAGGAAGAACCCAGTAAGCCTTTGAGGGCCCCACATCGTTGAATACCTAAAGGAAGCTTTCCGCGTTTCCGCACTTCCCCTTCTATACGATTCCGAGGCTTGCGCAGGGCCTCCAAGGGAGTCAGAAGCGACCAACATGATATTACAGGAGTTAGCCGATCAAGCCTAGCTAGAACTTGAGCGCGCGAAAAGCGCGCGATGGTTTGTATATATATATATATGTATATATATATGTATGTACGTATGTATGTATGTATGTATGTATGTATGTATATATATATATATATGTATGTGTGTACGGGTTGTGTTGATGTGGGTAGGAGTTTGGCATGGTTGTGTTGAGCCTGCGGCGAAGTCAGCCCTCGAAGCGTCCTGCATCCAGGCTCTTGCTTGCTTCTCCTCCGTGGGTTCTCGGCATGTCTGGGCCAGACTCTCAAGGCAAGCGCCCACAGGCGCCTCCTGCCCCTGCGGTCTTGACCCAAGTGGTGCCGCCATGTTGTATCCCAGGAGACTGCGTGAAGGATGCTCCTTGTCCAAGCCGTGGGGGGGCGTTTACACAGCTTTTGGGCCCAAGATGGGCCTGACCAGGTCCGGTGGATATGTACAGACCTCGTCCGCCTATTCTTCCGTACAGCCTTCTGATCCGACAGTTGGAAGTATGGCCTACAGGTCAGGCGTTGTCCTGATTCGGGGGGGGTCGACCCGAGCCGTCTCGAGGCCGTTTGGGAGACCAGAGTTGTTTTATAATCGGATTGTATTGGGGGGGGGGGGGCCATGCTTCGGCTGTGGGGCTCTCATAGGAGCTTCTTCGGGCAACCTGGGTCTCATGTCGCCTGGGGCCCCAAAGCGGCCCCACTCCAAGCTCCTCCAGGCCGCTTCCCATATTCCCCCGCATGCCCCCCCCCGTAGCCTTGCACATGACAGGAGGGGGGGACCCAACAGCGCTTCCAGGACGTCTGTAGCCTTTTTGCTGGCTCGAGAGGTCTGGCGCACGGCGCTCGGCTGCTCGCTACTGGACACCGGGCGCATCCTGAGGGGGTGCGCGCAGGAAGGGCAGCATGGCGGTGGCAGAGTGTCTCGTTTGGCACAGCTGGTGGGTGCACATCTGTCACTTCGTCCTCCTGGTCGTCGTCCTCCTGTGCCTCTTCCTGAAGTGGTCGTCGGAGAGGCCGCGGCGGACGACCTGGGACTTCTACACCGATGTGTCGAAGCAGATCTTCGGCAGTATGTTTCTCCACTGCTCGAACGTGAAGTTCTCAGACATCGTCCGCCATGCCACCCGTACGGGTGATAACTGCGACTGGTACTTGGTGTCAATCTCCCTGGACTGCACCTTAGGCAGCTTCCTGATGATCGCCATCTTGAAAGCAGTGCACAATCACATCTTCTTGATGATTTTCAAGGAACGAATGGGCAAGGACAAGGCTAACTTTCTGAGGGCAGAATGGATCCAAGAGGGGGACTACAAGGACAGCGGGATCGAGTGCAACAGACTTCGGCGTACCAAACAGATCGTCTTCTGGGTGTTCGGGCCTGTCTTCTCTGCTAGGGTCTTGGTCGTCGTCGTCATGTACTTCTGCGGGGGCAAACTTGCCGCGCTCTTCCACTCGATGCTCGGCGGACTGGAGTTGCATGCCCGCGAACTCGTCACCATTGCCATCGTCCCAATGCCATTCAACATCTTCCAGTTCTTCTACCTCGACGCGCGCATCAAGCGGCCGCGCGAGTTGCCGCCGTCGACGTCACCGTTGCCGTCGCCGAGTATGCCAGTGCCCTCGCCGTTGCCTCCGCCGTCGCTGAGCGAACCCCTCCTCCGCGTCGATCCTCGTGAGGAAGTGTTCTTCCCAGGCTGCGACGTACCTCTCAGTCTCGACTGCCCGGAGCGCCAGGCTTCCGAGAGGTCGTTGCGAACGTTCTTTGGGGATGATGAGGTGCGCCGTTTCTACGGCCTCGAGCGCTACAATGCGGATGACATCACTGGCCTCATCGATAAGATGATGGGCGGCGCCGTGGAAATCAGTGAACACACCGCGGGCTTCTACCTAGCGCATCAGCTCGCGAACGCTCGCACGTTCGCGATCTGCAACAAAGCGGGTGGCATTCACATCAGCGAGCAGGATTTTAGCAATTTGCTCCTCAGGGCTGCGGTTGTTGACAGCGCCGATCTTCTCGTGCCTCCTGCTATCCGCGATCGGCTGCTGGCCAGGGCGCCGCCCACCCGCACCTACGAAGTGGTCTCGCACACCAGCGTGGCACTCTGGAGAAGCCACATCCCCCAGGAGCAGGTCTTGCGTCTTCCGGATTGGCTCTGGAGGTTTGAGGTTGCGAGCCCAGGCGACAGGCTCGATCTGGGCCTGCTTGTGCGCCCATCCGGCGGGAAGACGGTGGTGGGGGTGATCGTGGACAAGGGCAAGCCGAACTACGGGGCTTGGATGGCCATGTGGAACAGCGCAGAAGAGTGGGTGAAGCCAGTGGAGGCGGAGGTCGCCAGGGCGTTCAGTCGCCACGAGCGGGAGGAACTCGACAAGCAGGCGGTGGCCGTCTACCGTGCAGTCACACAGGAGTTTGAGAAACTCCGGGCACACGCAAATCAGCTGGGCACACCACGGGTGAATAGTCGGGCCTTCCTCACCTACTTCCAGCAATTCATGCCGGCGCCCTCCACCGCGTGACAGTAGGTCAGGCCGAGCACACCGGCATCGCTTGAGGCGTGACAGTGCTATCACAGTTGACAGTACTACCATAGGATCGCCGATACTTAGAGCAGAGAACAAAACCAAACACACACAATACAACGCTTCCAGGACATCCGCAGGCCGCTGAGTGATCAAAGGGGCTCGAGAGAACCCCAGACGTGCCCCCAGACGACACACCACTGGACAACGTCGGCGGTTTAACGGTCGTAACGGGTCTGCGCACTCTCGAGTGCGCACACAAGTTGCCGAAGCATGTGACAATGTTTCGACGCTTCGGGTATCCTTAAGTCGGGCCTGTCCCTCTACAGGAGGAACATTCAAAAATAGTAAGAACATAGTCTGGGGACTATTTTTTGAGTATGGTTTGACCAATTTGGAGCATGTTTTGGGTATTGTTCATCTTTCGTCGAAAATCCCCCTGCAGGAGGACACGCCCGACTTAAGCGTATCCCCTGCCAGCCCGTGCAGACACGATTTGGGGCTTTCTTGAGGCCTCCTGGAGGTTACCTCGAGCCATGCTCGGCCTCCAAGGACCCTCTCGGGGGTCGGAGGAGGAGGAGGAGGAGGAGGAGGAGGAGGAGGAGGAGGAAGAGGAGGGGGAGGACGAGGAGGGGGAGGACGAGGGAAAGGAGAGGAGAGGAGAAGGGGGAAGAACATGAGGAGGAGGAATTCGGCACGAGGTTCGGAGGAGGAGGAGGAGGAGGAGCAGGAGGAGAAGGAGGAGCAGGAGGAGGCGGAGGCGAGGAGGAGGAGGAGGATGCAGGAGGCAGGAAAGGATGAGGGAAAAAGTGGACGATGCCAAAGAGGATGAGAAATCGGGCTTTGGATATCTATTGTTGTGAGAGATTTTCAAAGTACGACTAAGGCCATCATAAGGGGCCCTCTCGGGGCCCTCGTGGGGCTCGTTTCCTGGGCCTTGGCGCCCTCTTGGGGCTCATTGGAGGGGCCTGGGAGTCCTCTTGGGCCCCATGGCTCAAAAAGAAGGAGGCGTATCAATTCGGGTGCCCCCCCCCCCCTCGGTGGCTCAACAATTGCGTTTCGGGGCCCTCTTCGGGCGCTGTTGGAGCGCTCTTGGGGCCCGCTTGGGGCCGACGCCGCCGCCGCCGCCACGCCGCCCGCCGCCGTCGCCGCCCGCCGCCGTCGCCGTCGCCGCCGCCGCCCCCTCTGCCGAATCGCCGCCGCCGCAGCCGCTGCCGCCGCAGTCGCTGCCGCCACCGCTGCCGCCGCCGCCGCCGCCGTCGCCGCCGCCGCCGCCCCCGCCGCCGCCGCCGCCCCCGCCGCCGCCACCGCCGCAGAAGCCGCAGCCGCTGCCCCCGCCGCAGCCGCCGCAGCCGCCGCCGCCGCCAAGTGTACTCTATAGTGTTTTTTGGTAGGGATGGTGGTAGGAGGCCGTATCGGGTTCGCTGCGCTTGCTTCGAATTTGGAGGCAGAGTGTGTGTTTGTATTGTTTTATGTTGCCAGGGATGGTGGGGGCAGAGTGTGTTTTGTATTGTTGTTTACAAGGGATGGTGGGGGGCCCACATGGACCTGGGTTGGCTCCAAGTCGCCTGGGGGAGGGAGTGTATATTCATAGGGAACTGTGATAAAGACACCCTCCCCACCCGCAAGCCGTCTCGCTCACTCCCACCTGCCCTCCCAACGCATACGCAGCACCCGAGCCGCAGCGTGATCAGCAGTAGTCTTGGGTGGGCAGTTAATGGGAGCCACAACATACATCATATGCGCAACGCTGGGGCGAGGTGCGCCAGGCGTGCCAGGCGCGCCACGCGCGCCAGGTGCGCCAGGCACCCTTGTGGCCCAAGCGTGCCAGGCACGCTTGGTGCGCAACATGCGCCACGTAATCCACGTGCGCCATGTGTGCCGCATGCTCCAGCCACGCCAAGTGTGCGACGTTCGGGGCACGCGCAGAGTGTGCCAGGTGCGCCTGCGCACGTGGCAGTATACATCGGGAAACGTGCGGGCCTCCACCACCCTTGTCGACAAGCAGTGCGTCATCGCGGCGGAGTGGCCATCATAGCGTCTGGTTGGGCTGCACAATTCATGCAACAAGCCCGCGCCCACGCCGTCCCAGTCAAACACCAATGCGCAGTGATCGCGGGGCCGCTTGGTTTTCCAATTGTATCCTTATGAACATGAAGCCCGAAGTGCAGGTTGTATTGTTTTTTGACAGGGGTGCCGGCCCTGCGCGCAGCAGGCAATACGCGGGCACCCCGCCGTCCCTGTCCAACCACAATGCGAAGTGCTCGCCCCCCCTGATTATTACCCAACGTGTAGCCCCAAAGTAGACTTCACATAATTTTTGTACAGGGATGGTTGGGGGGGCGCTATCATTTGCCCTGGTTGGCTGCGGGTCGCCTGGGGGAAGGAGTGTTTCTTCATGAGCCCCGAGCGTTGGTGGGATTCCGCAGGCGCATCCTCGCGACCACATGTTTGCCATGCTTTTGCTCAGTTTGTGAGGCCCGCGGCTGCGTAGTAGACTCTCCCAGCCCCCTTTGTGGCCCCTCCCGTTTGAGTTCGGGGTGCGTGTGGCCCGTGGTCTGCACCGTGCTGTCTTGTTGTTGGCCTGCCTGCGCCAGGCCTCGCATTCCGATGCCATCCAACGCGATGCTGATCATGATGGCGGTCACGATGGCGCTGACGACGATGCTGCTGCTGATGCTGATTATGATGCTTCTGCTGATGATGCCAAATCTGAAGATGACGATGCAGATGATGATACCGATGATGCTGTTGTTGTTGGTGATGATGATGATGATGCTGATGATGATGATGATGGTGATGATGATGATGATGATGATGATAAGAATGATTAGGATGAGGATGATGATGATGATGGTGATGATGCTCATGATGATGATGACGGTGCTAATGTTCATGTTGATGTTGATGCTGATGCTAAAACAGATGTTTGATGATGATGATGATGATGATGATGATGATGAGGACGATGATAATGCTGATGCTGATGACGATGATGATTCGCATGGGGATGGGGTTGGGGATTGGTATTAGGATGAGGGTGAGGATCAGGATGTGGATGGTGGTGTTGACGATGCCGATCACGATGACGATGACGATCGATGAATAATAATATTATGATGATGATGAGGATGAGGATGAGGTTGATGATGGTGATGATGATGATGATTATGGTGATGGTGATGATGTTGATGATGATGATGAGGATGATGATTATGATGATGATGATGCTGGTGGTGATGGCGATGGTGATGATGATGCTGATGTTGATCTTGAGGGTTATGGTGGTGGTGTTGATGACAATGTTGATGATCATGATGCTGCTGGTGGTGATAACGGTAACGACAACGATAACGATGACGATAACGAAGACGATGACGATGACGATGGCGATGATGATGATGATGATGATGCTGATGCTGATGCTGATGCTGATGATGGAGCTGATGATGATGATGGTTATACTGATGCTGCTGATGATGGTGATGCCGACGATGGTGATGCTGCTGATGATGATATGGCTGATGATGATAATGATGATGATGCTGCTGCTGCTGATGATGATCATGATGCTGATGCTGATGCTGATGCTGATGCTGATGCTGATGAAGGCGCTGCTGCTGATGATGCTGATGATTATGCTGCTGCTGCTGATGATGATGCTGATGATGATGATGCTGCTGCTGCTGCTGATGATGATTAAAATGATGATGATTAAAATGATGATGATGATGATGATGATGATGATGATGATGATGATGATGATGATGATGATGATGATGATGATGATGATGATGATGATGATGATGATGATGATGATGATGATGATGATGATGATGATGATGATGATGATGATGATGATGATGATGATGATGTCGATGATGTCGATGTGAGCGTGCTATGTCAATATCCAAGCGCCGCTCATCTTGCACCATGTCGACGCTGCCCAGGGGCAGCCGTGGGCTGCGCCCCGCCCGCCAGCCCCCGCGCGCCGCCTTCGGCCCTCTTCGCCGCCTCCAGCCGCCGATCCACCCGGCAGCCGCCGCCACCGCCCCCGGCGGCTCGGCCTCGCCTGCCGTCGTCTTGCCGGCGGCGGGGGTCGACCGGCGGCCGGCCCGGCGGCGGCCGCGCTCTTGCGGTCCCAGCACCCCGCTCCGTGCTGGGCCGAACGACAGGGGGGCATAAGGAAAGGGGGGGGGATGCGAAATCTGCTGCATACAGCTGGTTTCGGCCCCACCCAGGGGCCCATTTCTCGGTACATGGCCGCCTCCGGCGCCGGGAGGTGCCGGGAGAATCAGCGTGTAGGTGAGCTGAGTCTCACTCCCCCGTCTTTGCTCTGAGCATTTTCTTAAGGTGGAGGGCTCAGGGTGAAATCCATCTGGGCTTTTGCACCTCGAAAATCAGTCCGTCTTGTGACTCACCTTTTGCAGATTCAAGCCTCGAGCACCCATCGAAACAGCATTTCAGATTTCACCCTTTGCTCTCAACCCGAAAGAAATGCTCAGTTGCTACCCCCCCTTTCGCCTGGCCCGACTGTGGTTCCCAGCCCTTCTGCGCGTTGGGCCCTCGTGTCGGATCCGCGGCGCCTCGGGAGGGAAGGCGCAGCACACAAGCACAATGAATATCGTCGACTCCCAGGAGGGGATGGAACAAGAGTGCGGCGAGTGGGGAGGAAGACGAAAACCCAGAAAGTATGGGAAGATCTGGGGAATCCTATTATCTGTGTGTATTTATGTGTGTGTCCCTGGGCCCCTTCAACGCCGCGCGTCTCCTCTCCTCCTCGCCCTTCCCCGCCCCTCCTCTTCCTCCTCATCGTTATCAACGGCATCATCCTAATCGTCGTCATGGTCCACGTGGCGTCGCCCCCGGCCCCTCTCGGCAGATCCCTCACTCGTTTCGTGGCCCTCCCGTCTGCAATGTGAGTCGCGAGAGTACGTGCGTGAATGGGAAACGTTGAGTGTTGTCCGACGTTCTTCGACGAAGCATTCAGGGGTACTGCGGCTCCCCCAGTGTCTTCTTGTCTATTGAACGGTCCTGTTCCTACTCGCCATGTTCAGAACAGGGTTGGCTTTTTCGCCTGGGTATGTTATGAGTTGGACCCCTGGCGGTTTCGGCGACTCGGGGCACGACAAAGAAGCACAACCGCAACTAAGTGGATTACCGATCTCGGCATGAACACTTCGTTGGTGGTCGTGGTCGATTTGGCCATCTTGGGACGCCACACCGGCCACAACCAACACTGAGCTGGCCTCGGTGCTCTGCCGATTGTTGGCACGACCAGGACGTCCCCCGTGGTGT